CAACAGGGTACGGACAGATCATAGCTCCTTTCTCTTTATTTAATCATCTAGTGACTTTGGTTTCGTGTATTGGCGTCCCTGACATGACATTGCTGTCACGTCACATTCATAGGCGTTAAAAGAGATCTTACAAAATTTTAATTTCATACTCTATCTTGATACGACATTATTTAATTGTGTTTTGGAAGGATGGTTATATGTGCTGCGTTAGGCTGTATCAATCAGTTGGATGGCAAATTTGAATTTGTCACCTTTCCATCAAATGCAAATGAACTTAGAACATGGAAATTGAAGTGACCGAATGGGAATTTAGTAAAAACAGTTTTGATTGAAACGGAGGATTTAAAGAAGAGGCATATGCCCTACCATTTGAAAAATTATACCTACATTCAGGAAATATTAGGTGATGATTCCCAACCTGAATATATACAGCACACATGACATATGAGTACATTAGTTTGAATACCTACATAAAATTTTTCACCATTTCTCAACCATGAGGCTTAGTCTGAAATTGAAATTCATTTATTGATAGGTAGTGCCTAAGAACAGTCCCATTTGGTAAAACGTATTAAACTTTCAGAAAAATTTGCTCACTGCTTCACAAAGATTATGCTGGAGTTGAAAAATCAAAAACTCGAAAATTATCATCATTTGGTTATGTAGTTACATGTGGAAATTACGTATGATACGCCAATGTCATCAATATAACCTGAAAAACAACAAATGTCAGAAATCTAGTGATTATCCCCAGAAATGAATAAAGATATAACTGTTTCACAAACACATTAGAGTGAGAGGAGACGAGGATCTGTCCGTACCCTGTTAAGATGACAAATACTTCAATTTACATCAAGGGACCCTAACGTAAATCACTAAACAACCACTGAATTCGCAATTTTTTGAAATCAAATCACGGAATTAGACTGACAATATTTGATTACCTCAAAGGCATGATAAAGATGACTGCAACGCAGGTATCATACCTGTGGAAAACTTCTAATTTCACGTCGATAATTTTCTGATTTTGATATAATGTAATATCTTCTCAATATTGGTTCGTCCTTATATTATGCACGGTGATTATTAGATTTTAGCTCACGGTTTTTTGTTTCCCGACGTGAGACAAGTATCTCATCGCTCATTGTTGATTGTAGCCAAGTTTTGAACCTTTTGAGTGAAGAAAAACTTCTATCTGCCGTTGCTTCACTTACTGGCAATATACACATAAAATCTCGAGGATATGTCCGGTTGTCGCACAAATGCAAGCAGTATCTGACATGTCGCCATTGAATTCACTCCACTTATTTTTCCAGTTTTTTATCATGGTTCTGGGGGAGGGGGGGGGGTAAATATCCCCCTTACCTCCTTCACATCTACGCCTTTGTCATGCTACTTTTAGTTCCCCATATATAGATCGCGTGAACTCATGAATATATACCCTGTATGTATGTACCTTACTGCTGATTATAAATAACCATATTGAGATCGATACAATTCATGTTTATAATGATGAAGATGGAAAGCCCTTATTTCGATCTTCATCATTATATGTATCTTTTCGGCTGAATAACCGACAAAAATTATGATTTGATTCCCACAATTTATGTTGACAGGTATCAGATCATTGTTAACCACCTACATGCAGAAAGAACTTCAACCAGCAATCAAAGAAACGTTGATGCGGAATATGGGATATACGATTTCCTATGGATGAAGAATGTTGTCATCGAATTGGTGAAAAAACTTCTTTGAATCTTGTATTTATTTGTAGATAAATATCATAGGTAGGTGCTATCATTCACCATCTCATTAGTTTTGTTCATAGATAATCAAAAAATGTATCATTGTAATTTAAATTCATTGTTTTTTTGAAAAGAATGAAAAATAAAATGCCCGTATGTTTTACTAATTGTTTACTCCTTTTACTAGAATGCATATTATCAACTTGAAGTTGACATAGGAGTGTTGACGAACTTTAATGAACACTAATACTGATGAAGTTTTCATACTTCGTCAAATTTCTACTGTGATTCAAAATCTCTGACTGTGATCATTAATGTTACCAGGAAATATGTATAAAAGCCACCGTAACTACCTAATCGATAGAGCTTTTTAGAAATGTACAAAATCATTTTACTCTTCAACCGGAAATAACCCCAACTTTTCAATCATTTATCACAAGATGGCATTTATTTTAAGAAAGACAGTTAATCTATATTTTATTGAAGAGCGTCAACGTGGCTGTGACTTGAATTCGATGTTTTGGTACTTAGTAGGCTATGGAATCTAAATAATGAAGAAATAGTTTTCCTATTTTTATGTCTGCCAATAGTGAGTAACCACCTTTGGAAACAATGGAATATTAGGTATGGAATTGTAGGTGAGTACAGCCACATTGATAATATCAATAATTTTCAATAATAGTTAACAGTTAACTGAGGAATAAATACCTTGTGAAACATTGAATGCATGGTTGACTGCAGAACTCTATTAATAAAATCTCAATGATTGAATGTATCCTGTATTATCCACATGTCCTTCAGGTATTGAATGACATTTTTTTGAAAAGGAACATTCTCATATATATTTATGAACACAAAAAAATGGATATATATTCTCCATGTCTCGGTCTATTCAACAGAAAACAACTACTTTCCTGGCTATATGCCACGACGAATATTGAATTACATCTATTGAACATACACGATAAGAATTTGAAAACAAAATCTTCTGAAGTAGGGAATTTGCATTCTCCTTCATATAAAGATATGCATATAATATAATTCTGAATATTCAACAGAAAACAACTACTTTCCTGGCTACTGGCGACGTCGAACATTGAATTATATCTGTTGAATATCCAAAAAGAGAGCATGAAAAATCAAAATCCTCTGAAATTCAGAATTGACATCATCTCTCAAATCGAAAAGAATAATATGATGTATTATGATATAAAAATATAACCTACAGATATGTTCAGTATTGAAATGAAAATTGAAATATAGGTATAGGAGGAGTATACTTGTATGAACTCTGATCTTGATGAGCTTGGAACTTCCAAAAAAATCATTCATATCAGTGATATGGGAATTATATCTCTCACAAACAGGTTATATGGATTCATTTCGGATATCATATCCTCGACTATTTTTCGCTAAATCAGATATCGATCACGAAAGTAGCATTTCGCGCTGTAGATACAAAAATAGGTATTTTATCTCTTGGAACGCAAGGAAGGAAATTCTTTTAAGGCAATAGATACGAACGAATCTTTGAAATGAGGGGTAACATTTTCATTCTATCCAGTTGGCGATACTGGAGTGAGGTCTACAGGTTGTTTCACAAGTAAAGGGAAATATTTCAATGGTAGATAGGAGTCACTAAGGTGGTTCTGAAATTACCATGCCATACCAATGATTTATCGATTTGGAATATGGTTATTCACTCGTCCATAAGTATTAAGCTACCCAGTTTATTTTCTTCAAATTTGGTATGGAGCTTAAACTTGGGTCGTTGACTTTATTGACCTTTCGGGCAAAATTGTAATCCAGGTTCGGCTTCAGGAAAAATTCATATTTTTTCCGGAATATAAAAAAACACTCTGTATTTAATGATTAACAAACCGCCAACAATTCTCATTGTAACACTAATGAATAGAAAGTTGAACGTTTGTCAATCTGAAGATGATTAAAATTTCAATTATAATTATATTTGAATCTACTAGTTGAATAATCGCTCATTTAGGTTAGGTACTTCTCGTATCTACTGCTACCAATTCTAATGGTAGCATTTTGAAGCAGAATGTTGAAATTTTGTTAATTTGAAAAGATAAAAACTATAAATAAATGCTAGTGCATGGGCCATTTTTTATTGTTTGTCAAAATATCGAATTACACCTACTTTTTTTTTTCATAAGCGGTGATTACTTGATGAGGTTCGCTAGTTATTTACATGAAAATGAAATCAAACAACGTAGAGACTAAGCGCAGAGTTGGTATTGAACGATATTCTCAATATTTCATTGAGTAAACTCTTATTTCCATTATTTTGATACTCTTCAGATTGACGTTTTCTCATTTTCTGTTTTTAAGTTGGAATAGTTTTGAGACTGACAAACAACAGAAAATATCCCACGCACTAGCGTTCATTTATAATTTTTATCCTTTCAAATCGACATAATTTTAACATCCTGCCTCAAAACGTTACCGTTAAAATTAGTAGCAGTAAATACGAGGAGTACCTAATCTAAGTAAGCTTTTTCGAGCGATTATTCAATTAGTAGATTCAAATAATTATTATTGAAATTTTAATCATCTTCAAATTGACATATTTTCAACTTTTTCCTCATTCTCACGATTCTTTTGATGAACATTGTTAATTATCAAATAAAGTGTGTTTTTTTTATATTACGAATAAATGTGAATTCTTCCTAAAGCCAAACCTGGATTTCTATTCCACCCGATAGATCAATAAATTCAATGTTCCAAATATAAACTAGATACCAAATTTGAAGAAGATATACTGGGTAGTTTAATATACTTATGGACGAGTGAACAGTTATTAGAAAACGATAAATCACCCTTTATCTCCGTTATAAAGACTGTAAGACTCATCAAATATGGTATTTTCACAACCACCTTGGCGATCCCTATCCACCATTGAAATATTTCCATTAACCAGTGAAACACCCTGCCAAAGTCAAGTTGTAAAATGTTGTCGGATTGCCTTGAAGACTAAGGACTGTTCCCAGCAAACATTGAACTAGCGGGAGAAGTCCGGCCTAGTGCAGGTTAGTCTGGGAAAGTGACGATGCCGGGGTATAGGTACCACACCAACCAGTAAGCAGTCACTCCGAGAAGTTTCATCGTCATTTATTAAATTTGTTTTCTTGAAATCTGGTATGTGTCTGATTTATGATGAGAGGGTTATGTTGTGAAATAAAGAGGTACTAGAACTTTCAGATCCATTGAACCCCTAAAACCCCTACCCCTTCCCTACCTCGATAGTATGTAACCAATGTCGTTAATTGGCCAATACAGTCCCATCATTTATGTATATGCTGGGCTTGCTATGGGAAACTCAATGTGTCGATTATGTTGTACTGGCCTTTTGCCGGGGAACTGAATAAGATTGCTGGGTACCCAGCACTGGGACCAGCTGCCGGCCGCAGTGTACTGTATATAGAGTCCCGCATATGGGGCCATTCACTGGGCCGCTGATGTCAGGTATGGGAAAAATATACTAGGCCAATGATGCCCCATATCAAGATGTTTGCTGGGTTTTTTCGAAAAAATAAAGGTGTGGCTTATGCACAGGCTTGAGTTAATTTTATTTTCAATTTAGATCTTTTAGAGCAATTTTTACATCAGAAGGAAAGAGACATGTCGTAAGATGCCATATATATGAAAAGAAAAGAAGAAATATTCCAATCAGTTCTACCAACCTTGTCCTCCCGTCTTAGTAGCGTGATCTAGTGGACAATCAAATTATGTTAGCCCATGGTTAACACTCATTCTTTGGTTATCCACCCCAGGTATGCACGATATTTGTAACAATATCTCACTGCCCTGAATACAGTGTGAAAACAAGAAAAAACCGTGATAACAATTGGTTACCAGATACTTATTTTTCTTTGTAGTTTACACAAATTCATATATTATATCTGGATATTGATACATAGTATCAAAATTAGATTATTTCTTCTGAGCCGCAGACCTAGCAAAAACAACAACTAGCGGTTTATCCTTCAAAATATACCCGTTCGTCTCTTTAACAGCCTTTTGCGCCTGCTCTACACTATCTAAAGTGATGAAAGCTTGTCCCTTCATCTTCCCTTCCTTCATGAGCCGAATATCAAACTGACTTGGCTGCCCTGCAGGACCCCCCGAGACCCTATACCTATTGAAAATGAATTCCATATCTGCCTCAGACACAGCTTTGGCGATATTCTTTATGTACAGTCGGCAGGTTGGAGCACCAGGGTGGTAGTTTTTGAAAACCGGCAAAACGCCGAGGTCTTTGTGTGGTATTTGATTGGCTGCTAAGTCTTCTGCGCTGATTGCTGGTCTCTCTTCCTTGTCATCGGCTTCAGGAGGTGTTGGTTCTTGTGGAGTGGGTGTTTCTGGAATGGTGGGTTTTATAAGAGGCAGGAGAATGCCAAATGAACCAGGTCTTTCTTGATCTTGAGCAGGTTTTTGTTCCGGTGGCTTGGAATGTTCAGTGGGAACTTTCATTTCAATTTTCTTCGGAACTTGAACATCCACCTGAAAATATAATAACTTGTTTGACACTACGCTGTTTTACCATAAACCACATCGTTTTTTTATCGCCTTCACCACATGTGATTTGAAAACTATGTCGGCATACTCTCCCGAAGATTTCTATAGAATGTTTTTTGAACACAATGCTACATAAATTACGTTTTTTTTTTTCAATGGAAACCACTGTATTTTTACACATATTTTGATTTGTCGATATTTTGTCTAATTTTTGCAAGTTTTTGCGGCGTTATTTTTGTAAAGAAAATTTTAAGAAGAGCAAAGTTCTTACAGTATTTGGTATCTATATCCAAGGATGCTCACTGTTTTTTTAATGAAATTTTGGTTTTTTTATCTCTTGGAGCGTGCGAAAAGAAATTCCTACAATATTCGTGGAGTTTGGTGTTGGATTTTTTTTACTTTTGGAGGTTATAAGTCATAAGTTATAAGTTATAAGCCTCAAACTGAGTATATGACCACGAATATGGACTATAAATATCCAAAACATGGAGTCACCATGACAGAAAAAAGAGGATTTTATAATTGTCTCAAATTCTACAACAAATTACCTAGGGAAATGAAAATGATTGGAAACTTATCTTTTTTATGTTCTGGTTCCCACGAAAAGATATATCCTGTAATGTTCAGAGAACATCGTGAGAACCAAAGGAAATAAGGTAGGAATTGGTGTTCTTCTTAAATTTCTGGAGGTTATATGCCTCGGGGTTATTATATAGCTAGCACTTGTATATCAAGAGGCGCGACGCGCCGAAGGATACAACGTGCGAGCTATAAAATAGCATTTTCACCCGAGAAATATATAATATCTTTTCCACTAATAACCCTGAAGAATAAAAATCTTCTATCAATTCAGATTTTCATTCTATTGAAGGAGCAATACCATTCACCGTGTATATTCAGCATTGTTTAGCATAATTACTGAAATTTTGATATTTCAAGTATAGCCTAGAAAATCAGTTGTCAAAAAAAACTATAAGGAAATTATACCTGGCTGTCAGAAAATAAACGCTGGCAACGTTCAGCAGGAAGTTGAACCATGGTAACTTTGTCTCAATTCGTTCGGACCGCAGTCAGACTATGGATCAGACCGTAATCCACGTTCCACGTGGTTTGAAATGAGGCCAAGCATGAGCTGAATCGTTCAGTCCATTATTTTCATCTTTCTACGTCAGTTCCAGAATGACATGCAAAATGTGTGTGAATGAACGTTTTCGCAGGAGAATTGGATTTTTAGCGCCGAAGAGAGTTAAGGATTGACGCACGAAAATTGGACGCGGATAATTGGACGCGGCGACAATTGGACGCGGGGACAATTGGACGCGGCGACAATTGGACGCGGCGACAATTGGACGCGACGAAAATTGGACGCGGCGACAATTGAGCGCATGCGAAAATAAAAATAATTTTATAATTCCAATGAAATTTATTGCATGGAATATGCAGGGCTCATATCTATAATATAACAAATACCTAACCTAATCTAACTAACCTAAAATATTGTACTATATACGATATGAGATAGGAAAATAATTGTCAAACGAGGCCATAGGTATTTGTTATAATTATGGATATAAGCCCATCAGTATTTCATATTTTATACAATGAATTTCATTGGAATTATAAAATTATTTTTATTTAAGCATGCGTCCAATTGTCGCCGCGTCGAATTGTCGTCGCGTCGAATTGTCGCCGCGTCTAATTGACGCCGCGTCTAATTGTCGCCGCGTCCAATTGTCGCCGCGTCCAATTGTCGCCGCGTAAAATTGTCGCCGCGTCCAATTGACTGCGACCAATAGTCGTGCGTCCAATTTTCCACGTCCAATTGACGCGACACCCAACATATAACGACCTCTCACTCTACTCTCGCTAGTTTCGTTTCGTTGCCGTCCAGTTTTGTGAATATCGAATATACAGGGTGATTCATTGAGAATGGGAAATCTCTGAACTACAGATAAGCTGAACCTTGATATTTCAGTGTTAACTATCTGATAAGCTGAATCTTGATATTTCAGTGTTTACTATCTGTAGTTTAGAGATTCCCCATTCTTAATGAATCACCCTGTATATACAGAAGGAAAATATCATTTCTGCGTGAAAAAGGAAACTACTTTTTCTGAAAAATCTAACCTAACTCAGCATACAGGGTGACAGGTGACATTGAAATAAACAGATATTTCCAACATTAAATAATTTCTACGAATACGATTGAATGGCACCCATACAAAAACTGTAGAGATCAAATGAAATCCAGGGAGAGACCCTTTTTCCACCCAAAGTTCTACACTGTAGCAATTCTGTTGGCCTTGACAAACTCCACATTTGGTGTCATTTAACCGACCTCGTATCTCTCACCGTTAAAAAGATACCCATGGTGAGCATGGTAAGTGGGACACACTGTATACTAAAAATGACCTTGTTTTTTTATTGTAAATATATTTGATTTTTTGTACTCCCTGTCAAACTATTTTTCCATATCAAATTTAGTCATACATGTAATTTTATCGTTTAGGAAGGTGACGTAACTAATCAGTCATCAGAATAATATGAATCAAGGCAGCCATCCATTGGTCATATATTAGATTTCGTCACATACGGTCGATTCAATTGGTTTAACGAAATGACTTTTATTTGCATCATGAAGTTTCAATACTTGAATTTCATCCCACCCCCTGTAAAACATTTTTCCATAAAAGCTTTTGTCATATGTAATAATAAGTGATACTGTTTAGCGGAAAATATTCAGTGATTGTTATAACAGCTTGTTGTCTAATAATTTCGCGAATGACATCTTTATCAAGACTACGAGCCATAGGCGAGGAAAATTTAATATACAGGGTGATGCATGTTTGAGTAATGACTACCGCGACAATTTTTTCAAATGAAACATCCAATATATTTAGGAGGGGGGAATCAACTTACAGTCACAACCACAGAACTCAAGTGGTCACAACTCCACCACATGAACAATTTGATAATGACCAGAGGTCATGGAGAAAAGGACATGTTCCGAAGGATTAATCCTTCATCATCAGCAAATTTATAAAAAGAAGGAAATCTGTAAGAAGAAAACAACGCTTATGTTGGTTTTTAAGTATTGTTGAAAAATCTGAATATACCTACCATTATTGGTGAAAAGATTACTTAAATAACCTAAGAAACTATTTTTAAACCGCGCATAGTGCGGGTGGGTAACTGTTAGGGAACAAACATTATAACAGCTTTATAAGAGCCTATATATTTCAAACATTGTTTGTTTTGAAGAAAATATTCGAAAGAACCAACATGTGGGTCTGAATTTGTTGAATTGGGTTAACTAATCACAAATGACAATCGACAAATGACACTTGACAATAATGACGCTGAGGACAAAACACAACATCAGAATGACACAAGTCACATCAAAAAATTAAAAACCAAGAAATGTTTGGATTAGAAGTGACATAGAACACAGAACAGAATTATAGGTAAAATAATAAGGAGTTGAATAATTTGAGACTATCGAATTGATTTTGTTCATTGTGGCAGTTGAGGTTGGAGTTTTTGACAGCTTTATTGATATCCAAGGTTTCAAGGAGATTAAGTTTTTTTCCTTTGTCACAGATACCTATGTGGAATTCCAATGTTAGAATTGGGATCAAAAGTGTGTTTGTCATTGATAATATGGTTAGGAAAAACCGAGGGAAAAACAGTATTGGACTCAGAGAAATATTTTTCAAAATTATTTTCTATGATACGACTGTTCTGATACTCTGGTTTTGAACTTGTTACCTGTTTGACCAATATAGAAAACTTCACAATCATCATTTTTGCAATTTAATTTATAAACACCAGATTTTTTTAGAAGAGCAATCTCATCTTTTGTGTTGACTAAGGCACTCCTTAGAGTGTTGGTGGTTTTGAAACAAAAATTAAAATTACCTACTATTGAGTATTCCCCAGAATCTTCCTGAGTTCGAGGGAAACAGAGTCAAAGAAAGAAAGAGAAAAATATGTGGATGTTGAATCAGACGTGGTTGAGAAGTTATTTGAAAATTTATTGGCCAATAAATGGGAGCACTCTCCCCAAAACGATCTTGCCCCACTTATTTTAAATTCGAGATATAATACCAACTATGTTTTAGATCGAAGAAGTGACGTGTTATTTATCGAAGTATAAATTGTACAGAAGAAGGAACCAGACCAGAAACCAGCGACCGGTGATAAGTTTTTCATTCCTATTTACGAATCATATTCAATTCATTCCGAATATTTCTTCCAAATTTTACATTTGTTATGGAAGGCGATATATCATAGAACATTTTTCGATAGTCAACTTTATGTCTCAATGGAGATACGACAGGTACCCTTACGAGGGGAGAGTATCAACCCTTGGCATCGGTAAACCCTCGTTGCAACCGGGGTAGGCGCCTGATGGGTTAGGTATATACAGTGTTTCTCATTAACGAGAAAATTGTTGGCTAAGTATCTGTTCCGTTCATTTTTTGAGTAATAGAAGAATATGTAGCGTTTCAGCAAAGGAATTTGAAAAAAGTTTGTATATATATTTCAGTTTCTTATTCCATGTAACTTTCATGATTTCAATTCAATTTTTAAATTCGAGATATAATACAAATTAAGTTTTAGATCGAAGAAGTGACGTGTTATTGATCGACAGAAAAATTGTACAGAAGAAAGAACCAGTATATCACTTAGTGTGATAATGTGAAGAAGCTTATAGTCAGCAGAACAATTGGCTGCGAAAGTGAATTTGAAAATATTATCACTCAGGTGAGTTTTTTCCTCATTGTTAAACTTGTAGTTGTGCCAAAAACTCTTATTAGTAATTTTCCATGTGATTTTCAATGCAAACACATATTGAATAACATCAAGTACAGGACACTTTACACCTCGCTTTACACGGTGTTTAAAAAAAACCTGACTGTCCTGCAAGGGCAGGTAGGACACTGCAAAATAAGTTGGGTTTGCTCAGTAACAAAATATCCTAA